TTTTTTTTTCAGCCTTATGTATGCGTATGAACCAAGAACAGAATTCCTAATTTTTGCGCCAAGTAGAAGATTCAGCGTCACCTGTGTTTGACATGCGAGGATTAGATGGTAGGTTAGATGAAATGCTTCTTCGATGGTACTACCGCCAACGACAAAACCATGGTTCCTTAGAATCATAACGCTATGCGTACCCATGTCTTTCACTAGGGAATCTCCTTCGTTTATCTCTACGAGAATACCCTGCAAGAAAGATCCTTCCTTTCCAATCAACCTTCTGCATCTACGCACCTGGTAATCATGGTATGCTACTGGCCCGACGATCATGGCTTCCTGACACAGAGGAAGCAAGCCGCATTTCATTGCCGAAACAGCTGCAACCGCTGGTGTATGTAAGTGAATCACGCACATTAAATCTTTCCGAGCTCTATGGATAGCAGAGTGAAGAGTGTAGCCGGCCTGTAACGAATTATCAGAAGTTTTACAACGATTTTGTCACAAATCAGCAGCAGAGTCTTGTGGCCTCACTTGATTGATTCCTAGTTTGGTACTTCCATGATCCAATACTTCTCCGTCAAGGTTTACTTTTACAAGTGTGCTGGCAGTCTGTTCATGGTAGAGCAGACCGAAAGGATTAATCAGAATCTCCATGTCATCGCCAGGAAGTCGCACCTTACATGGACCGAGTTCATTTTAGATAGAAAAGGAAATCTTAAGATCGTTAAAGCTGTTTCTTACTGTCATGTGATTGAAAATCCCTTGACTCCAATGGAAAAGATCTACGAGTCGATAAAGGGATGCCAGCTGACATCGAAGTCTTGCCTCTTCAGGTGAAAAACCTTCATCTTGAAGGTCGTTGATCGGTTTCTTATTTGATTTCTCTAAAGTTTTTCAGACACTTGTTAACTGTTTCCTCAAGTGAATCTACACTAAGTTACTTGCACTGAGAGGATCAGATAAATGTAGAACTGTAAAACATACCGAAATTCGGCAACGAAGTTCCATTTTCTGTCACTCCAGCAGGAAACATCTAAAATGTAGAGTTTTACTCTAAGACGAGGAGAAGGCAATTGTGATTAATAAAGGCATAAGAGCGGTCAGGTCAGGCGGCGCAATGACCCAGAATAGGGGGTGCATTAAATATGTG